TTTATATCATAAATAATTCCAGATTTATAGTTATTTATTTATATTCTTTTCTAGGATATTTTTAGACTCTGTATTCCAGGAAAAAACTATTTCGAATTGGTTTAGTTAGCATGTCTAGGCTAATTATAGGATATCTAGCAGTCGACCAGTGCTCATTAGCCCCCAATCACAGTTGCATACAATGCGTGGTTACATCTCTTATCTTTAGCGTATTTTTCTTGTTGAACATTCACTTTTTTTGTTTCTTTCTTTTCTTTTCTTTATTATTTTTTGGCACTTTCTTTCTAGCTGAAAGTTCGTTTGGTTTTTTCTTCTTCTTCATTTACTTTGTATGTGAGTGGGTGAGGAAATGTCGTGGAGTTGGGGGCGCTGTACATGCGTTAGCCACAAGCAACAAGCCGTTAGCCGTTAGTTGCTTTTCAAAATGTAAATACATTGGCAGACACCTGTTTATGGCTTTTATACATTAAATACAAACTCTGTCCGTCTGTCTGTCGGTCTGTCTGTGGCAACGTAGGTGGCTTGCTTGTTGCCTCAAATTGTTGCACTTGCCATTGTCTGTGGCATATCTGGCATGTAGTTAGTTTGTAGCTTGTCTCGAGCCAAGCTAAAAAAAAAGCCAGAAAAAAATACAATGCCTTGATAAAAATCTGTAAATTTGCCCATTTACCCATTTGCTACGCTGCATAGAAAGTTGAATTTGAATTCAATAAAATCAATAGATGAAGCACAGTGGGACCAAAACTAACAAAGCTAAGAGTAATACATTTTTAAGATAATTGAAATATCGTTTGTATATATTTTTAATCATTTTCAAACAAATTTATATGCATAGAAAAATATTTCTAATATATTAAAATCAACTTGGCCTTTCGGAATTTACAACTATATTTTCTGCACCATTTGGCTGTTGTAGACACGCTGACATTAGATCTGAACCATGCCGAAAACAGCAAAGCGGCAAAGATCATACAAATTTAAACTTCAGGCAAACATAAACAAAGGAACGGGGCATAAATACATGTAAACAAATCAATATACAGACATACATACATACATACACATAGACACATGTACATTGCACAATTGTAATATTTGAAAACAAATAAGCAGAGCAAAACTTCTGCTTTGGCACTGTGAGCAGGAGTTTCAGCAATGAAAATGGGCTAACAGAACGGAAAATCATTAAAATCTACTTTTCTTTTTGGGTTTCTTTGACTTTTTTTTTGCAAAAGGTGTAAACAAAACAAAAATAATAGCGAGAAGAGATCAGGCGAAACGCAGCGTGAGTTGTGACTAGACAGAGTGTTAAAAACTACCTGTACGCTACGCAGAGACGTGGATGCTTAGATAGACATAAGGTGCACGCTGGATGCGGCATGCAGCATGCTGCATGTGGTCATGGCGTGCCGAATCGCCAGCCATGAAATGTGGAAAAACGCCATGAAATGGGCTTTCGTCAAATTAGCGTGCCAGCGTTAACGACGAACGCATCTGCAGATGCTGTGCGAGTGTGAGTGTGAATGTGTGTGTGTGTGTGATCTGTGTGTGTATTGCACTGTGGGATATTTCGCACTTTGCGCTGGCAGTTCAATGTTGTTCTCGATTTGCTACCTGAGCGAGCCCAGAGACTGACTCTGTGACGGACTAACTGACAGAACTTGCCTTGATTTATTTGAAGCTGAGCGGTGTATCTCTTAAAATACCCTGTGAAGATGCTAAAAGAGGGTATATTTTTATTTTTAAGGCAACTTGAGTGGAGATTTTCTAGCGAGGAAGTATTTATTTTTTTTTTTAATAAATTTAGTCTTTTGTATTCAAATAATAAAACAAACAGAAAATAATCACAGCTTATAATATATCATTTTATTCTTTAGTATTTTCGTATAACTAATAAGATCAAAGTTGCTGGGAAATGCCTCTGAAATCCACACAATTCAATATGGCCACAAATCATCATAATAATGGAACAACAAATACAAATCCACCGCAATCTGTTGAATGCAGGGCATCTGCTAGTCGTTCACAGTGATTGCAAACGTCTTTTATGTATCTAAATTTGCATTTGCATGTGACCTGTGCAAGTGCTGGAAGCCTTGGTTCTTATCTAATGTAAAGAACTCCTCGTCGCTGACTTTGGCACTTGATCCACACACACACACACACATACAGAGTATATACAACAAGGCACACTGGGAGACTGCCGTATAAACTGTTTAAACTGAGCGTCATAAATACTCCCGTCGTTTAGTTTTTACGATTGTCGGCTGTCTTTGTTTGCCATAGACTCGCACCACACACACACACACACACAGGCACACATACATTGCCATGCTGAGATACAAGTTCCAAGTATCTTTGAACGTATCTAAATGCATATACAAGTAAATGCCACAGCACTGTGTAGAGAAGAGTTGAGAGACCAAAGAGCTCAGAGCTCAGAGCACACAGCTCACAGCTCAGACAAGAGCCTCCTGCCAAGATATGTTGGCGACTCCTGCGTACTGTACCCCAAGCCCGAGCGAATCCCAATATCATCCAAAAACAGGTCCCCGCCAGGGCCAAAGTTTGCGTGCCTTGCAGACATTTTTATGGTTTCTTCTGCTGCTGCTGCTGTTGCTGCCGGATCTGCCCCAAAAAAAGAAAAAGCACCAGCGAAAAATTACGAAAGAGAGCATTTATGGGCGCTCAGGTAGAGTCTACACAAAATTTGTTAGCTCTGCAAACTCTTTGAGTGCTTTGAATATTTTGCAAACTATTTCAACCATTGAATTTTATAGCGTATAACAAACTGAAATGCCTAAACGGAAATTCCAGCTTAACATTTATGTCTGTGGTAACAGAGCTTGCAAATGATTGAATCTTGAGCTATATGCATTAACTTTCTAGTATTACTTCAGCTTAAGCGAGCAGAGGATTACAGTTACAGACAATAGAAGTTAACACTTCTTTTCCTGGCTATATAGTGTACATTGGATTTCTATAAAACTTTACACCATGTTTACCACACTTACGGTAATTCCATTAATAATCTTCATATCAAATTAGTTTGTCTATTCTAAAGTGAATACAAATTCCTGTTAACTACCTTTCTAGTCACACAAACCAACTAACTCTTCACCCCATGCATGAATACATATTCCTTTATACATATCCATTACACTTCTACACACAAATTTTCCACACATCCAGCACTTCCATTCATGGTCTCCTTATCGAATTCAGTCCGTCTTCATATGCTTTGAGCTCTGCCGCGCTCTCCAGGAAAGGTTCAGTTCCAGCCCCAGCCCCAACTCCGATTTCAAAGTTCCAGCTTCGACTTCCAACTCGATTCAATATTTGGTGCGTCTCAGGTATTATGGGACGGCGCTTATCTAACCTTATCTTACAACACTTTGCCGTCTCGTTGGGTTGTTCGGCTGTCGTTTCGGTTGTTTATGACCTGCGCCTTGGCATCGTGGCATCGTATTTCAAAAAATTGCTTCCAACAAGTGCATTTCTACCGTCCCACCGTCCGTCCGTCTGCTCTTTTTCAGTTCAGTTCAGATTCATGCGTGTGTTTTCTGTCTCTCTCTCTCTCTCTAGCTCGCTTGTTTTTGGTCTGTGTGTTTGTCTTTTGTGGTCTCTCCGGCTGGTAATTCAATAGCTGGGCAACCACTTCACAAAGACGCTGCCCCCAGCTGGGGCATCCATCCATCTATCCAGGATGTCAACCGCACAGCTTAACGCTTTCGAGACTGCGGCACGCTCGGCACATCCGCTGCTGCTTCAACAAATTATGTTGGCTCATTATAACGAGATTAAACTGTAATCACTGCGAGAGAAGTGTGCTGTACACCATCTCATTCTCTCTCTCTCTCTCTCTCTCTCTCTCTCTCTCTCTCTCTCTCTCTCTCTCTCTGTCTCTCTACCTTTGTATTTCTTTCTTCTCAGATTTGTCTCTTTGCTGTTTCATACACTTTTTGGGAACACGGAACCCAAGTGCTCGCTTCCTGTGTCCCCAAACAGACCCGAACGCTTCAGCGCTTCTCTTCAGTGAAAGGGACGCTACTTTTGTAGTTGATGTTGTTGTTTGTTGTTGTTATTATTGTCATTGCTGTTGTTTTTGTTTTGTTTTGTTTTTTATTTATTTGTCTCTTGGCCTATTCTGTAGCCCTCTCTTTTTTGTATTTAAATGTCATTTAAGCGGCTTAACTTGCGTCGCTTTTTATGACAACATTTGCGAGCTTTATACGCCAGCCAGGCCTCGTTTATGAGCGTGAAAATGAAAGTACTTTCCTCATCTGGCGGCTGCCTGACTCGCTCATTAGCTTGCCCTTTCTCCATCTCTTTCTCTATGTACCCCATCTCTCTTTCTCGCGTTGAGTCTCTCATAAGAAATGATGACTGTGCAGCTCTTTGACGCCTGGCGAACGTTAATTTTGAGCTTTCCGAAATATGCCACAATTATTTTGTTTTTGACCTGGCAGCTGATGAGTAAGCCACCATTTCAGATGATCAGATACACAGATTATATATCTGTATACATATGTATACAGATGATTTTTATATATTTTCTATATAATCACTTAAAGTAATCCTCTTACTGAGTAATTTAATTAAAATGTGAATATTTTGATAAAAGTATGTTAAATAGCTCTGTTATTAACAGACCAACAGTTAACGTTCGGTTAACATTTGCAAATCTTTGATCAACTGAAATATCTTAACGGTTGAAAGGCAATCAATTAACATAGGCAATAAAATTTACATAAATGTTAACCATAATGTGAAAGTAAATTTCTCCATTACATTACCATAATATAAAATTTACGTGAGTTGAATATATTCTGATTGTAGGACTAATCTTATTCACATCAAGTTTTTCCCAGAATCTCCGATGAGATTAATGTAAGTCGAAAGTAAATAATTGCTTTTTCTTTCACCAACGTGCTTCAACTTTAGCAATTTATTTTCAATTAACATTAAATTTTTTACGTCTAAATTTGATGGAAACTCACCTGAATTTAGCTGCACGCCTGGCAATACGACCGACGACTCCGCTTTGAATCCCATCATATTATCCATATGATCCGAATTAACTGCTTCCTCTGCTTCCGCCCCTCCGCCACCGCCTCCTGAAGCTTTCTCTAGCTTCTCGGCGCCCATGTCCAGTGTGGTGACTGCATCCAGTTCCATGTCGATCAGCGTGTTGCCTTTGAACAGGCCCGCGCTTCGGTATTCCTTGGCAAAGGGCGTGGCACCCAGCGCCGCCCCAAGCAGCATGAGCAGCAGGCAAAGCAGGCGACACACGCGGCACATTTCACATTCAGCGGCTTTTCTGTGCCACATTGCGAGAGACAATTACAGTGGACACTCGGCTAGACATAAATTGCTAGTTGAATTATATAGCGAGTGGCCTCAATTAACGGCACAAAGCGCACAAGCGCTGATAAAAATAACACACAAACTTAAACCTTTTCACATCAAATTAGTTCAAGTCTCGTTCGGGACTTGACCGCAGCTAAAATTCAATTATCTGTAGGCTTTTTTTTTTGCCTTTTTTTTCTTTTTTTTTTTTTTTTGCCAGTTATAAAAAAATTATGTCACCAATTAGCGAACGACTTGAGTTACGGTTGTTGTTGCTGTTTTTTGCTTTTCGACACTGCAAAGATACAAAAGAAAAAAAAGGGAAAGCGTCTGTTTAGATAAAGCTTTGGGAATGGATATGTTTTAGAGACTAGTTTCTTTTTGAAGAGTTTGACAGAACTGTCAGGTAAGATCTAAGTGACCTAGTTGTTTAGCCATAAAAATTGCAAACATCAAATATAATTATTTTATACCATTTATTAAAAAAGATATCTAAAATAATTTTAAAGTTGTATTAAAAATAGACAACAATTTGAAAGAAATATAATTCTAGGAAAAACTAATTGGAATTCATATTCTAATTTCCAAAATTTCAATTTTCTAGTGAGCAGTGTATCGTATTCCAAAAGTTGTTTGGAAATGGTAATTGAATCTTTCCAGTAATGGAAGTTACACAGCTTCTACGCTTTTAGCACTTAGTATTGTTCTTTAATAATATTAAAATATTCTCTATAAATGAATTCAAATAATTTCAAATGATTAATTAAATATGGATGCAAAGCACAAATATATATTTTACTGTACTATGTTCATGAATATGCATGTACGAAAATATACATATTCATATATGATGTATGTAAGTATCTATAGATACACAGCCATCTTTACATATTTACTCATACATGCATACATGCGTACATATGTAAAATGGATTTTTTTCATATTAAAGGATTATTAAAATTCACATAACAAAAATTAAGCAGTCTAAGTAAATGGGTTAACGGAAATTCTTGCACATATTTCCAACAGCTGCTGTCGACTTGTGCGTTGGCGCGACAGCAAATCAATTAAAAATGCAACAACATATCAACTGGCGAGTTTGAGTATATGCATATGTATGGGTGCGTAATTTTATGTGTGTATTTGCGAACGCGATAATTTCCATCACAAATTCCCATAGGCTGTTGGGCATGCGCGGAAATAAACGCACGAATTTCCACAATGAGAGGCGCGCAAATGCAGAGCCCACAATAAGCAATAAACGCATAAACGGTAAACAAATTGCCGCTACCTGTGAGACAGTCCATAATCCACACAAAAACGCCTTAAAAGGGCGACAGACGCACACACACACATGCACGCTTGCATCGATATATGTATGTATGTAAAATGAACACTCAACAAACTGTGAATGATGCGCACGCATATGAATACATTGGCTCGTATGTGCATATGTATGCAAGCATGTGTAAAGCGCCGTTAGCGCCGCTCATAAATGTCAATGCAAAATGTTGTTGCTGCTGCTGCCGGCACATATGGTGCAATCGTCCTCTCTCACTCTAGCACTATGACTATGAAACGCGTTTCATTTTTTTGGGGGAAGATGCGAATTTAGGCGAAAGGAAAACAAAAGCCTGCAATATGCATGCGTGTGTTTTTCTGTGTGTTAAATTGCCATAAGAAACGAGTTTTGTCCAAATATTTTTGCATTACAGCAACGAAAATCCATTAACAATGCAAATATACACACATACACTCCCACACGCACGCACGCAAAGCTGAGCAGCGTTTTTAATATCCGGCGGGAAGAACAACAATAAACGTTCGTTATATTGTTTATATTTACTGCGTACCTTCTATGCAACAATTAGTAATTGTTGATCAATTTATTGGACACACACACTCACGAAACATCTACAAATATTGCGCGTAGTTTTTTTTCTTATTCCATTTGGCGAGTTTTGCGTGAATTAACGGTAACGGTAAAATCGAAAACAACTCACGCGCAATTTCGCTCCACCGACCGCACGCTACGACAACGATCTTCACAATAACGAGCTGAATGTTGCTCAACAAACTGGCCAAGGCGCACAGCGCGCGCCTTAGCAACATGTATACTCAACCTATCTCAGCTTGCAATCGATTACAATGCTGGGCTGCTATTTGTAAATATCGATAAGTGTGGTGAATTCTTAGTTCATTGTCAATGAATTTGTAGCCGTTCACTTTTGAATAACTCATTTTCGCTTGCCCCAAATTTTTGTAGTAAAATAGAAATATAGATATATTATAAAAACGAAAATTAATTAAAAATACAGAATTAAAAATATATTGTAAAACGATTATTAGATAATCGGGGCATCAACCAGCGTTCTCATCCAGTTGCCGACGATGTTGCATTTGCAGCTCAAAACGACGATTCGAGCGAACTCCCCGCACAATTTCGCTTCTCTTCTCGTGACCGCTTCGACCCTTAAACATTTCCATATGCCGCTTGCGACGCGCTTCCAATTTGTTCTGCGTGGCATCATCCCTCTCGCCGGGCTTCACCTTCGCTATGCTCTGGCTGCTCCCTGGTCCACTTGAAGCTGGAATGAACAGCTTGGATGTCACCGAGGTGGACAAATTAAATGCCGGCTTCGGCACCGTTCTATTGCTCGACAAAGCGGGCCGAGCCGGCACCAATGCCTTGGGCTGTGTCACACCAACAATCTTGCGCGGCGTGGGCAGCAGCTTCACCCGCTCCAGTTCCTCCGGCTTCAACGGTGTCAATGTATAGCTGGGCACTTCGATCTTTTTGACTGCACGCGAGCGCACTGGCGTCTGCTTCTTGGCTGATGAAACAGTTCTTTCCGATTGTTGTTGTTGTTGCAGCTTAACTGCAGAGCTTGCTAAGACCTTGGCACGCACGGCCTTGCGCTCCATGTGCTCCACCAGATTCTCCATCTTCTCGAATTGCTTTTGATGAATTGCCGCGAAATTTGGCAGTTTAGTGCGCGGCTTCAATTTGCTGGGCGTAACTGTGGACTTGATGGGAGGATATTGCTCTGGAAGGATATGAAAATGTATTGGTACAGGTATATAAATGGGATATATATATGCTGCACTTACTCATCTTGGGAATGCGACTTGGCATGGGATTTGGCTCCAAGGACTTGGAACGTTTGCGACGCTTTGTGACATCTAGCAAAGGGAAAAGTTTTATTATTATAATTGCAAATTGATATAATTATAGCTCTTACTACTGTTGTTTAGATTCTCCCAGCGCTTATCAATATCGTTGACATTGGCCATTTCCACGGGACTGTAGAAGGTGACTCCCTTAACCTTCGTCTCATTGGATCGTGGTATTGATTTCGAGCGTCTGAGTCGTGGGTTTTCCAAAAAGATTCCAGATGAACTGGCTTCGCAATCTGTGAATTCCGTCTGGATTTTGCGTTTGAACGGTGTGGGAAAGCGATAGGCCATTGGCTTGGCTGGGTCACTCTCATTGCCTGCAGTTTCCGGTTGCTTGAGATCCTCATCAATTTGCTGTTCTTCCATAATGCACAAGGCGGGCATCACTTCATCCGCATGCGGCTTGTCATCGGCATCGAAGGTGACGTTCAATTCGTTCTCTGTCTCGCCATCGTCGATCATAATAAGGGATGGCATCTCGTCGTCTTCTTCTGGTTGATGCTCAGCTTCGAGCGGGCATAGGCCTAACTCATCCATATCATCCTCTTTAAATAGAGCTATTTTTTGATCTAGCTCTTGGACAGGTTTAACATCATTCTCTATTATATCTGGACACAGCTCCACTTTAATCTCTACTGGAGTGGGCTCAAAAGGTTTCTTCTCTCTTATTTCCTCGTTGCATTTCTCATTCTTATTTTCATCATAAGCATTGGGCGATGACGAGACTGTGATTGCTTCTGTTACCTCTAGGTGCTTGAAATCTTCCTCTTCCACTTCTTTCTTTTCTGTTTCCAATTCCTTCTCTTCCTCCTGCTGCTTTATCTCTTCGTTCTCCTTATTTTCTACCTGGTCCTTTATCTTATTTTCTATCTGTTCCTTTATCTCATCGTTCTCCTTATATTCTATCTGCTCCTTCATCTCTTCGTCTTCTTGATTCTGCTCTTTTTCGTCGTCGCCTCGTTTTTTCTGTGCCTTTTCAGCTTTTGAGGATTTGGCTTTTTTGGTTTTGCGACTGCGCTTGCCCGAAGTGCGACCCACCTCAGCCACGGTCCATTTCTGTGTTTTCTCCTCATCTAGATTCTCTTTGTCGACAATGGTAGTGTCCTTTTTCTCCTTGCTGGCAGAAGACAACAGATTCTTTTCAATTATGTCCGTATAGTCCAGAGTCGGGCGCACGCTCTTGCGGGCACTGCGACGCGGCGTTTCGCAGGCTTTGCGGATGGATGCACTGGGTGTCTTTGGCAATGACATGAGCTCATCATCGTCGGGTACAGTCTCTCTATTTAAAATACTCTCATTTTGCTTTTGAAGAACAGCGCGTCGCGTCTTTTTGGCTACAGGCGTCTGTGGGGCTGCCTCCTGGCGCAGCAGGACGCCGTCAATTTGAGCTGCTTTAAATGTACAATTTTGTTATATTTGTATCTCTGAGAGAATAAGGCATCTCATTAAGTATTTACCTGCAGTTGTTTCCATTATTTTATGCCAAAAAATTCTTGTACACTATGTGCGCGTCTCTTTTTTTCGTTGCTTTCAAAATTGTTGTATGCAAAGCCAATGTTAGCTAACACGCATTATGCGCTCGATATGTGGTAAAAGTATCGATATCTCGTGATGAGCAACGATAATGTTAGGTACGCTTGGGCCTATCGATAATAATGTCAAAAGGCGTTGAATTTCAAAAATGTTATTTATTAAAAAGTTCTTTGAAAAAATACTATTAAACGGTGTACTCATTTAAAATAATGACAGTTTTATGATGGCAACAACGACTAGCAAGTCAAGTTAAAATGAAAAGCGATGGTATGAATATTAAATATGTTATAGCATAGCACTAATCGCTCTGTATTATCGGGGTGCTCTGACTGCTGAGGGCCAATTGATAGGCAACCTCAAAGGCCTGGCCAAGAGTCAGAATTATTTCGTTAGCGAGTTCCTGTAATGATATGCAATTAGTTAAATATATTGATATAAATTAGAGTTGAAGGCAGCCTACCAAATTGTCAACCATAAAGACATGACAATAATGGAGCTCCTGCTCTTTGGTTATATAGGCGAAGTAACGCATATCCTCCGCATCCTGGCACACGCAATTGATGTTCTCTATGTCGTGCGAGCAGATGGTAGTCTGTCATAGATTTAAAATAGAGTAAACTCGCTTGCAGATCGTTTCGGTAGCTCACCTTTAACTCGTGATCTATGAACTTGACGCCCATGCAGGAGACAGAGATATCCACCTGGAGGCGAGTCTGCAGATTAGCTGCCTTGAGATACTTGGTGGATGTATTGCAATTCTCCAGCAAACTTATGTCGCTAACACTTGAAGCTGCCTTCAGCTTCTCATCGATCTTCAGCTTCTGGATGGACTTGCGCGTCGAAATGGTGCCCTGAAGCTGCCTGATGACTGTTGAGCCCAGATACTGCAAGGATTGAAGTCAATTAGCAGTTGAATATAAATTAAGATATAAGTTATATATACATAAACAGAGTAATGTATTTCGCCATAGACCAGCGTATATGGTGAATGGCACCAATGGGAAGCTGGACTCGGCGATTTGACCAGCAACAAATCCTCCGGATTGCGTATGTGCAGCGATTGGCGAGCGTCTTCCATGGAGACAGGTGGCAGCTTTTCACTGTGCATCTCCTCATCCTGTTGCTGCTCCATTTCATGCTCTTGTTCCGGGTCCTCATCTATCTCCTGCTCCATTTTCTGTCCCTGCTCTGGTTCCACGATGCACACCTCATTGCCAATATTCTCGAAGATCGTATCAATCTCGGCCCACACACGCGAAGCACTAAAATCCTCGCCAGTTGTGGAGAATCGCTGCTTGGACAGACTACGCCGTGGATTCAATGCGTTCACGTTTCTCACCATGCTGGGCGAACGCAGACCACGCCCATCCACCACATCTTGCGCCAAGTTCAAAGTTGAGCCCTTAAAGAGGCCAGCGAAGGGCTCATCGCCCACAAATTCCTCTACCTGATCGGAGCTGCAGGAGATCTGAGAGTCATCTAGACGTGGCGGCTGCATAAAACTAAAGATCGTGGTCTCAGCCTCAACCACAGTGGGTGGCGGATAGTCGGGCGTGGGTGAGTGGCGAGCAATATGCTTGATGCTATTGTTGATATTATTATTATTGTTGTTGCTATCTACAGCCTGCCTGGGCAATATATTCTCATAGTCTAGATTTAGGCGAGTGCGCGGCATAGGCACCGGAGCTTGCAACGGAGCTTGCATCGGAGCTTGCACCGGAGTTTGCACCTTCATCTCCACATAGTCAGATCGAGTTTTTGCTTGAAGTGCACCAGCTGAAAAAGCAAAACAAATGTACTTTAGTTAAGGATTGGGATTTGGGCATGTTAAAGCACTTACAGCCGTTGCTGTGGTTGCTCCGCTCCTCGCTGCTGGAGCTGGGCTTGAGCAGATTGATGAACTCATAGGAGCGCGAGGGTATGGAGCCATTGGAGAAGGTCAGCGCTGAGCCGAGTAGAGCGCTCTGATACGGCTGCTTGTAGACTGGCTTATAGCTGGGCCACAGCTCCTCGCGTGGCTCCAACGTGTGCATATCGCTCACCGACTTCTGTGGCCTAATGGGCTTCATGTCCAAGTAATTGGGTGGCCTTTTGATGTAGCTATCCAACGAGCTTAAAGAGTGCGAAAGTCCATTTGGTGGAGGAACTTGCTTGCTACAGTCAAGTAGTTAAATTTTGTTTGTTTTGAGAGGGTGGTAGTAGTGTTATGTGGGAGAGAGAGAGAAAGAGATAAAGAGAGAGAGAAGACCAGACCCGTTATATGAAGGCGCTGTGACAATTAAAAGAACTACCAACCAATTGATTACGCTGTGTGTGAGTGTGTGCGAGCGTGCGTGCGTGCGTGAGTGTGCGTGCGAGTGACATAGGATGATGATCATGAATTCTATTCTGGAGCCGATCGGAGTTCACATACAAATTAATGCCTGCATTTCGTTAATTGATCTCACAAATTATAACATGTGTATTTAATGTGGGCGCATATGAGAGAGAAGTTACTCGGATGCATGTGGGCGTGTCACATGTATTTCAGTGGTTCAGTGGTTAGTGCGTGCGTTGGCTTACTTCCTCTGCTTGGATGGATCGCTGAGCTTGGCCTGCTTCGGCCGCTGCACATTCTTCTCATAGAGACGCTTCGGCAGCGACGACGACGAATCGATATGGTTGACCAGCTGCGTTTGATTTCTGCGCAACATCTGTGACTCAGTCAATTCGGTAAATTCTGAAAGTAAACAATCCGTGTGGGTGTTAGAATGTCAATACAAAGAGAGCACAGTCACGGGCACCACTGTGATATACATATATATGAATAACTAGCTTTAAAACTATATAAATAAACTCTATCTCTCTCTATATATATATATACATATATTCCATCGATGAGTTTTATTTTAAGCATTGCAGACCGAGAGTATATGTATATATAGAGAGAGTTACACATTCCGTAAATCCTATTCGAAATCATCTTTATAAATATAAATTACACGTAAAAACATGTTTAACTAACTAACTAATAATATATATGTATATATACTCTATCGGAGTGTTTTATTTGTAATCATATATTGCACCTCATCAAGAATATATATATATATTGGGGTTACAGCGAGTACGTTACATATTGCGTAGTTCAATTGAATCACAGGATTACTTATAATACATTTTTAATCATATTTATTTTGGTCAAGTGGCGAACCTTTGATGATGGCCGCAATCTCGTAGGTCACATGAGGTGGATAATCGGAGAGTAATTCGAGGGCGGTGCGTCCGTTGCCGTCGGTGGCATGGACATCGATGCCAGCTCTGAGTAGGGTCACCACCACCGACTTCTTGCCACACAGCGCTGCCTCGTGCAACGCGCTGCCCGCATTGGTTAGAATGTTGACATCGACGCCAGCTGCTAGCAGCGTTTCGACTACTTTCTTGTGGCCATTGCGGCTGGCCAGGTGGAGGCAAGTGTGCGTGAATATGTGCTTGGTGGGCGTGGGCGAGTATTGGTGCGAGTAGCCAAGCATTTCGGCAACCTCATCCTCGTCATGACGGCGATAAGGAGCAATCAGATCGGGATCGACGCGCAGCAGAGTTTGTACCGCCTGCAGCCGGCCGAATTGTGCAGCCAAGTCCAGAGCCGTCTGAAAGCTATTGTTGCGTATGGTGGGATCGGCGCCATAGGAGAGCAGTATGGCCACGACATTGGTGTGCCCGTGCTGGGCACTCGAATGCAGCGGCGTCTCGTTATCAATTGTCTGGGCATTCGGATTGGCCGGCTTGCAGCTATGAAATAGGAGCATCTTCACAATATCCTCATAGCCCGCCCAGGCGGCCAAGAAGAGCGGCGTCGTGCCACGTATATCGGGCACGTCCACCTCTGCATTGTGGGCGAGGAGTAGGCGGACTATGGCGCTATGGCCATTGAGACAGGCGTGATGCAATGAGGTATATCCATTGACATCTTGGCAGTTGATATTGGGACTTCGACGAAAGCTAAAAAAAGAGAGAGATAAAGAGAATGAGAGAGAGAGAGAGAGAAGTTATAAATAGTACGTGGTAACTCTAATACTAATACAACAATTGCGCTCACCTGGACAGTGGACCGTGTCGCTTGGTCGTCAGCTCCAATAATTTGCCAACGGTTTTTATATCCCCACTGCGCGCCGCTTCAAGTAAATGCTGATCCTTGCCCATTGGAGCTATGTCATTTATCAAAAAAGAATACAATACTTGTGATTAAACTAAAATACAATGAGATCATAGCTACACCCCACCCCCGCCCACACCCTTTTAGAGTAAACAGGTCTCTCTCTCCCACCCGTTGTCTCATCAGGTGGCAGTCAGCTGTTTCAGCCCACTGTAAACTTAGCAGCACGTTCCAATTATTCACACATTCCAATGGGCACACACACGCATAAACAAACACACCAGTGCATAAGGTATGTTTGTTTTTATAAACGTGTTGGATTTAGGGCCTACTCTTCCAAGGTCATCGTACGGCATTGCCACCCAAATTTTCACCAAAAATAGTTCAACTTCTCATTCTTATGCACCTACCGACTAGTTTTTCACTTCCTAAATAAAACACTTAATTAGTTATAAATGCGGATAGCTTGACACAAATTCGATCAAACATTATTATGTGTGCTGCTGCTGATCGTTGAACAATTAATTAATTATGGTGCTTGTACGTGGAAATAAGAACCACTGCAACAAGTCCAACACTCTACACTATCAACAAATTGAAACGAACTGGCAGTAGAACGATCGCTCAAGTTGTGCTGTTAAATTCTCTCAGCGATTCGTGCCGTTGCCTCACTTTTGCGTTCTGTTGGCTCCCTTTTGCGTTCTGTTATCTCACTTTACCGGCATGTGTGTGTAGTCGATACTTATCGAATCGTCTTTTGCTGTCAGTCGGAAGCATCGATGTTTTTGCTTCAGACGCTCGATGTACATGTTTCATTTGGTTAATCATATTAAAATTGAATTCTTGAAATAGCCAAGCACACAATATGGAAGAAACTAGTCCTATGAAGCCCAAACGCAAAGACAATACTGAAGGTGAGTGGAAGCAAACGAAACCAGCATTTAAGTAGCAAAGAACTGCGTATAAATGATAAATGTGCCGGCACAACGAGTTCAATAGAGACCGCTCGTCCGTGTGTGTGCGTGTGTATAGGTGTGTGCGCTGGCCATACATTAAAATTTAAGGTATGCCTTTCTGTTTAAATGCTTAATGCAATGTCATTCATTGTGTTGCCCTTGCAGATAAAACGGGCGAGGAAACGGCCGTGCCAAACAGTGACGGTCCACAAAAGAAATTGGCGAGGCTCAATGAATCGCTGGAAACGGCGTCTGGAGCGGGCGACGCTGACGTGCAGCTGGCACTTAACAAAGCTTATCAGCAAAAGGATGTGACGCAATGGCTGCAGTCAGCGTGGGCCAAGCAAGCGGCAAGCACAACAGAGGAGACGACTGGTGCACAAATCTATGGCGAACCATTCCAAATAAGCTTGCTACCCAGTTTCCTAGAGACAGATAATACGCGGGCTTTGGTCGACGAAATGATCAACAAGGTGCACTGGTCGCGCAAGCAAATGGATTTGTACGAGTTCTACCAGAGCACTGATTTGTCCAATATGCTCGAGTGCCGGCTGCTCACGAACTTCCTGCAGATGCTGCGCAAGCAAGTGCGACCCTGGCTGGAAGAGATCACAAATCTGAAGCTGGACTATGTGTCCGCCTCGTGCAGCATGTACAGCTGCGGCGACTACTTGCTGGTGCACGATGATCTGCTGAAGGATAGGCAAATCGCCTTCATTTACTATCTGTCGCCATGGCAGGGTGTTGAGGAGTGGAGCGCAGAGCAAGGCGGCTGCTTGGAAATCTTCTCCAGTGATGAGCAGTGCTATCCACAGTTTCCCGTGCAACGGAAAATTGCGCCCAAAAATAATCAGTTCGCATTCTTTAAAGTCGGCTCACGTTCCTTCCACCAAGTGGGCGAGGTGACGACCTTTGACTATCCCCGTTTGACGATCAATGGCTGGTTTCATGGCGCCACCAACGAGGCCTTCGCGGCGGACTCTTCGCGCGCCTTTCCTCGCCCCAGTTACCTGCAGCCGAATGTGAATAATAATCCCAGACTGGGCTTGCTTCTAAACGACGTCTACCTAAAGGCAGCCACGCGTCGCAGCATTCAGAAACGGATCGAGGAGAACTCGGAAATATGTCTGTATGAGTTCTTCAAACGCGAAAAGTTTGAATTGGCTCGCGCACAATTGCTGAACGATGAGTCGCTGAGCTGGCGACGACAAGGACCCGCCAATGCGCACAACTACGAAGTGATGGATCTGGACACCGCCAAGGGCACTGTCCAGGAGCTGCTGCAACTGTTCCGCAGCAATGCCATGTTTCAGCTGCTGCGCGACTTCACCGATCTGGATCTGTATGGAGTGGATGCCATTACGCCCACTTGCAGCGTGGAGCTGCAGCGCTGGTCGCACGGCAATTACACGGTGCTGGGCGATGGTCTGGTCAGCGAGGAGAATACCCTGGATTTGGTTTACTATCTGAATGCGGCGGAGGGTGCGGCGGTTATCACATATCTCTCACCTGATGTGGAGCAGCGCACGGCCCACAGGAATGGCTTGGATACCGACCAAAGCATTGATAATACTGACGATACAGAGGACGACGAAGAGTGCCAAGATGACTCCGTCCTCCTCACAATAACTCCCGTGGACAATGCCCTGAACATTGTCTATCGCTGCGAGGGCACCACCAAATTCACCAAATATGTTTCGCGCAACACGCCGCTGGACAAGGGCCCGGTCTTTGTAATATCCTGCAGCTATAGAGAATAATTGCGATGATTTATCCACGTTATGCCGCCGCACGTACAAGCCATAAATTGTTTTCCAAACAGGCGCAATGCACAAATATTTAACTCTGTTTTCTAAAGCTCAGCGAGAGAATGTTGATTGTATTCAAGCGGGAAAGCCACTAAATGAAATGCCCAATAAAGTGATGTATAAAGAAACGCAAGCGATCAAGAATTTTATATATGCAAATGACAAATTATTTTCAAGAGTTTAGCAAATGCATTCTTCAACGTTATTTTTTTATCAATAAGTTTTCAGGTTTAGCAAAAATTCTTTACCCAAATTGTTTTATCATTCAAATTCGCATTTTTGTTTGTTTTTGTTGCAGAAAAGTACCGCATTGCTGCAACGATTGCGTTCATTGTGGTCATCGTTGGAATTGGCGTGCCCATGTGGTGGAAGACGACCTCGGTCCACAGGTGAGTCAGCTACAGTGGAAACTCACTGTGGTGGATGATTATGATTATATAGAAGCAGAACCAATGGAGCTTCAAGTGGTCATTCGTCACAGTGAACACCCTGTAGATGGAGTGCAGAAAAGACTCTGAGACTACCAAAATATAGCTCATATATTATATCGATAGCTCTCATATCTTCGCACACTCTATAAAAACTCCTCTTTAATACAGTTTTTACTGCATTTACAATCTACAAATTTGAATTCTGTTTTTTCCAGAGCCAGTTTACCTTCGTCTGCCATTGAGCGCCTCAGCGACCAGCCCATCAAAACAGTTGTGCATGTGTCCATCTATACGCAGCAGCCAGAACGCGCCCAGCTGCTCATTACGGAGCTGCAAAATGCATTTAAAGACAGCGGTATGTCCAAAGAGAAAAAAAAGAAACAACATCATTAATCATACGCATGGCATGGCACCATTACTAATGACTATGTCCATTTAGATTTTTGGATTGTGAAGTTCAAGCAGCTGCCGCCATTCGCCAAGGCAGCCGAGACCCATACGCCGGCCGCCTTGGAGAAGTTGCTGCTGCAGGAGCACCCGCAAAGCGAGGGAGATTTCATGTTCATTGAGTGGCCCAAGCTGGAGGATGAGCTGCTGCTGACCACGGAGCGCTCGGCGCTGATGCGCAGCGATGTCAGTAAGTAGCAATGGCAATGGTTAAAAATTTCCACGTTAATCATTGCGAATCTTTCTCATTTCAGCTTCCAATAAGATAGCGCAGCTGCTTCATTCGAAAATTCTGCAAACCTATCGCGTCAATCAGATACTCAGCACAGATGAGCGCATCAGCGTCAAGTCGGAGGCTCCACAGCCTGAATACGATGTGGTTATTTCCGTCCTAAATCCCAAACCAAAAATCACCAATGCTCAGTGGAATGTCGCGCTAGCTGCGCAGAGTAAGTTCGTCCACGGATTTCAAGCTCGCTCTAATCCCTTGCAATTGCAGCTTATATAGAGCCCTTCCTGGCCCAAATCTCTGACATATCCAGCTACACAGTGCGCACTCAGTGGAAATATCGTGTGGCCATTGAAGCCGAAATGAAGCAGGTGCGCGATCAAACCAAACTAGGTCGCCACTATGCGCTGCAGGAGTCAGCCCTGCCGCATCTGCTAACATCCATAGCACAAAATTTGAGCGGAAGCATCTCGGACAGGCCCGTCATCAACTTGGTGGTGTATATACCGCCCTGCAGCACTGGACCGCTGCACATATACAATAAAAAAAATGAGATGTTGACGCGAGACGGTGTCGATGCATTCATTTCCCCACCCTGGGGCGGCTTCATAATAGCCAATCCGCCCGAGAGCGTCTGTCTGGCCTATATGAACGATGAGCCACCCCAGCAGTATTATGTGAATACCAATGATAATATGCAGGTGATGCTGGATCAGCTGCACAAGCTATTGGACATCAGCAATGAGGTGCAAGTCGCTGGCGTCAAGACAGTGGACATTGAGCAGCTGGCGCCCAGGCGCTGGGAATACGAAGCCTATATAAGACGCAGCGCTATTCGCCACATTGCCACGGCCAGCAACACGCTGCAGAGTCTGATCAAGTTATTGGGTAAAGCAGAGCAGAGTTAGGACTAATTAGAATCATATATAATGTGTGTCACGCTTCGTTTTGCAGATCAAATTAGCTACATTGTGATAGACGATAAAGTGGCCACCGCCATAGCCAATTCGCATAGTGATATTCTGGCTGCCAAGGCCGCTTTGCTGGAGCATCGTTTGATGAACGCCTCGGCGTTGGCCAAGCGCGCCTTTGTGTTCTCGGAGCGCGGCTTCTTTGACGCCAGCTTGTTGGCACAGCTTTACTTTCCTGACGAGCAAAAATACGCCATATACATCCCACTCTTTCTGCCGGTCATGGTGCCAGTGCTTAGCTCTTTCAATATGCTGCGCAAATTGCTGGACCGCAAGCGGAAGGTGAAGCAGCCGTAAACGAGCCATATCGAGCGCGCGCTTAGTCAACCAAATTATGTATCATTTAAATTAAAACAATTAAGAAGATTCTTTAGAGATTTGAAAATTTACTAATAGCTGAGCTCGTCCGTTGCGCCCCTCCTAGTAGCGTGATCATCTTGCCGAGCATGCACTGTAGACGCTTACGCAGATGAGATATGCGCACAATATACGTAGCTTCATCTTAGTGCGTATATATATATATGTATATATAAAGATTTCGATCCAAAAGTATTATTTGTACATGTAAATAATTTTGATTACTAAATCGAGGCGAGCAAATGGCACTTCGTAGTGCCTCAATTTTTCCTGATGACTTTTATTGCCGGTAGGTGCGATATCAGCGCAAAAATAAAATATATATATATAGTTTTTTTTTTATGTCAGGGCTGAGAGATGCCACGCACCCACATCCATGCCCACAGCCCCTCCGGGCCAATCGAGCGGACGCAGCGTGTGAACATGGCGCATAGGTCAGAAGCGGGATGCCGCCTCATGATGAGTGTCAAAACAAGCAACAAAAGCTTTGCCAATTTTGTTGTCTTCTCGTTTTGTTGTTTTTGTATTTTTGGCAAATCAAATGTTGTTACACTCTCGCAGACAACAAAGTGCAACGAAGTTGGTGTAGTCGACTATATAATACCCTAACAGGTTTTAGGCGTGATGAAGCATAAATTAACCAACAAGTTGAAAAAGTTTAACTGGACTATCAATGCCGTAGTCCCGAATATATATATTTTTTATCTTTAAATATTTGCTATAACATTTTAGCTTTTGGACTTCCCGCTGTTGTCTTCTTAAACTTGTGTATTAATTCTTATCTTTATCTTATTAGTATTATCTTTATAGTATTACAGTGTAAATTTGTCTCCCAATTTTCTTTCGTTTTATTATTATCTCATTCAGTTTAATATGTTCTCTGGTTCTCTCTTTGATTTTCTCTCTTTCCACTTCCTTTTCTATCTATGTACATATATATAATATCTTTATCTTTCACTTTCCCACCTCTATTTATATATGGTTTTTCTTCCTCTCGCTCTCTTTCTATTAGATTAGATTTAGCCGTCTTGTTAACAACTATCCTAAATTTCCTATAGACTTCATTTTCTTCAATATTCGCTCCATATGCAATTCTCTTAAAGAAAGTATTTTCCACACTCCTTGGAATTATATTCCACTTATAAATCCTTGACATAGAAATTGTCAAAATCGAGTGTCCCATCTGCATTAATACTAAAATAGGAAGAGGTACTCTCACGCACCCCTTCTTATCGTCCAATCCCATCACAAGTCGAATAAATATTTTATCCACTTGGTAAGGGAATTCAAATTGCATGCGAATGCAAATAAAACAAAATCTCTGCGCAGCTGTCAAAACTCGTTAAACATTGAATTGGCTTTGGCCACGGCTATGGAGCTTTGAGGCTTTGGGCGCTGATCGGTTGAGGGTGGAGACGGAAGACGTGGCCCAGCATCGTCGGCAAACTATGGGCATTAAAAACTAAATAGTTAATTTTTAATTGCGCATGGCTCGTTGAGTCGAACAACAACAACAACAACAACAACAAAACAAAAGCGTCGTCAAATGAATAAATGTGAGTGTGTGACTGTGAGTGTGAGTGTATTCAACAAGTATTTGTCTCTTGTATTGCAAAGGTTAAATATTATTTTAATGAGCTGAGCTGAGCTGCGCTTGTCTGAGACGCGAATACTCGAACAAGAAGAAGAAAAAACTACCTTTTCTCCAATTTACGTTAGCCAAAAAGGTCAACAATGTGACTTTTAACCAACGCCAAATGCCGTCAGCTTGCCAAGTGGCTTTGTGTCACGGCTTCAAAGCGAAGACTTTCGATTATGTCCCTGTAACCATCCAGCTAGACCACATGCCACATGGTCACATCATGCATAGTAAATCGAGTCGACTCGTTGGACTCCAGTGGGGAGGCACGCCTGCACTTGCGCAGGGCTCATCATCGTCTGCATTTCCGGCTCCGATTGAGTCAAATTACATGCCATCTCCTCCAATTGCTTTGGCTGGCCACAAAACTTCGATTTCCCACACGCAGCCCGAGTCGGATTCGGAGCCAAACCGCACGCACGTAAAAATTCAATTCAGTTTAAGAGCAGCAACTCGTCTCAGTTTTTTTTTTTTTCGAGATTTCAGATTTGAGATTTTTCAAAGAAGTCAGCTAAGCCGAAGGCTAACACAACAACGAAACTAATTTTGATGCGGTTGTTAAATATTTCCAAACATCTCAACTCAAAAATGAGCTGGCTGAAAAACAAATCGGGCGGAAAATCAAAACGAATACCATATACCTTAGCAGGGAAATTTCGTACTACCTTTATGAGCTCTAGTTCAGGGAAATATTTTTAGATTATCTGCTAACGTTGCTGAGGCTCTAGATGTGATAGTGGTTTAATATATTCAAGTAATCCTATATGATGTGATTTTGTTTTTATAGGTGTTGTAGTGGTTTAATATAATGAAGTGAGACAATATGATCTTCTCGTGTTGTTGTCTTCTGTTATTGTTGTTCAATATGATAAAGTGACTATATGCTCTTTTGATGTTGTTATAGTGGTTCAATATATTTATGTGATATGTGATATGATCCGATTGTGGCTCCAGAAGTCAAAGTGATTATAATATAATGAAAATATTCTTTATGATCTTTCGACGCTGTGGTTCTATGTGTCAAAGTTGACCAATATTTTAGTTCTATTTAATATATGT